CCATCTTCCCAAAATTCCGTCCCAATACTCTCTTCTTTCTATGGGTAAGTGTTCTCCCCTGTTTCTCCTCTCCTTTGCTGGATCTTCATCCAGGCTGCACCTACTAACCTTGGGTATTCCATGGGGCTCTATTCTGGGCCCTTTTCTCTTCTCCCTCTGCACAACGGATTAAATTATCATCTCTTTGCAGGTGATACTCAGATATTTTTTAATCCAGCCTTAATCTCTCTTCTGACCTCTATTCTCACATCTCTAATTGCATCTTAGGCATTTCAGACTGGACATTCCAAAGACATCTTAAACCCAAAATGCCTAAACCTAACTTATTATCCTTTCTTCCAACCTTCCCCTCTTCCTAACTTCTGTACTGCTGTAGAAGTCACCACCAACCTCCCAGTCACCTAAATTCACAACCTAGGTATCATCGACTCTTTAATCTCACTCCTCACATCCAATCTGTGGTTGCCAGGTTATGCCCATTTTACCTTTTGTAACATCTCCCTCCTCTCCTCAGTCACCACCATTTCCTTGGTACAAGCTCTCATCACCTTACTTTCTGGCCTATTACAACAGCCTTCTGGTTGGTCTTCTTGGCTCAGGTTTCTCCCCACTCTAATCTATCCACCACCCACCTGTCAAACTGATATTTCTAAATTAGATCTGATCATGACACCACACTATTCAATAAACTTCAGTGGCTCCCTGTCACCTCCGGGATCAAATTTTAAATCTTGTCTGGTTTTTAAAGTCCATCACACCTCAGATACCAAATCCTTATCAAAGGAATCTGATATAAAGTTGTTTTTCCCCCCATTTGACTACTTCCCCTTTTATTATAGGTGTGTTAATTTTGCTTTTGCAAAAGCTTTTCAATCTTAGGAAATCAAAATTTTTGATTTTGTAATCTATTTTATCTTTTTGTAATTATCTCTAACTTGTTTGGTTAAGAATACATCTCCTAAATCCGGCCTCAGACACATAACACTCACCAGCTGTGTGACTGAGCAAGTCACTTAACCCCAATTGCCTCACAAAAATAATAAATAAAATTAAAAAATAATATATATATATATGCATATATATATATCCTACCTATAGCTGTGAGAGGTATATATGATCTGATTCTGTTCTAACTTTTAATGGTATGATTTCAATATTAAGTTCATGTCTTTAGAATACATTGTGGAATATGGTGCAAGGTGTTGGTCTAAGGCCTAATTTTTACCAGACTGCTTTCCATTTTCCTAGAAGTTGTTGTATTAACTCAAACATTGCATTCTTTCCTAAGTAATTTATGTTTTCCTATTCAACACTGGGTTACTGAGATCCATTATTTTTGATTCCTCTTTGTCTAAACTGTTCGATCAATCTACTTTCTCTATTTTTTAACCAATACTGGGATAGTTTTGACGATTGCTTCTTTATAACGTAGTTTGAGGTCTGGGAGTGCTATTACCTTTTGTCCTTACCTCTTTTCATTACTATTAGCAACATTTAAGATTTTTTATTTTTCCATATAGCTAGGTAGCATTTACATAGTGCCCTAATGTTTGCAAAATGTTTTACAAATATTATCTTATTTTACCCTCACAATAACTAGGGGAGGTATGTGTCATTATCATGCTCATTTTAAAATGAGGAAACTGAGATACAGTAAAGTTAAATGACTTGCTCAGGGGTCTCAAAGCTAACAGCTATCTGAAGCCAGATTTGTATTCAGATCTTCCTGACCCCAACACCAATGCTCTATTTACTACAAAACCTAGCTGCCCCTATTATTTCATTGAGTTTGTAAAACATACCTTTGATAATTTGATAGGTATAGCACTAAAGTTATTGATTAACTTTGGTATTGTCATTTTGATTATATTAGCATGGCCCAACCATAAGTAATGAATGTTTCTCCAGCCATTTAATTTTTTAAAAAAATTACTTTAAAGAGTACTTTGTAACTGAATTGACACAAGTGCTTTGTGTGCTTTGGTGGACTGATCCCAAAATATTTATGCATTTTGTGGTTATCTGGAATGGGATTTCCTTTTATATTATTACTTCTTGAATTTTGTTATTAAATAGAAATGCTGTTGATATTTTTAGGGTTTCTTTTATGTTCTGCAGCTTTGTTGAAGTTATTATTTTTTTCAATTATTATCTTTGCCGATTCCCTCAGCTTTTTAAAGTAAATTATGTCATTAGCAAATGAGGATAGTTTTTTTTTAACCTATCTATGCCTTTAATTTCTTTCTCTAGTCTTTTTTTTTTAAGGCAACTGGGGTTAAGTGACTTGCCCAGGGTCACACAGCTAGTAAGGGTCAAGTGTTTGGTCTGAGGCTGGATTTGAACTCAGGTCCTCCTGACTTCAGGGCCAGTGCTCTATCCACTGTGCCACCTAACTGCCCCTTCTATCTCTAATCTTACTGCTAACATTTCCAAAGTTATATTATTTGATATAACAGGAATTCTTATTTTCCTCCAGAGATTCTACTAATACACTTATACCCCAAGGAAGTCCCCCTATACACCAAAATACTTATAGTAGCAGTTTTTGTAATAGGAAAGAGAGAAGTGCCAACTATGTGCCAGGCACTGGGCTCAGCACTTTCATAAATATCATCTCACTTGATCTTCGACAACCCAGTGAGTTGTCATTATTATTCCTATTTTACAGTTGAGGAAAGTGAGGTAAAGAGGCAAACTGAGTTGCTAAGTCACACAGGTCTTAAGTGTCTAAGGCTGGATTTGAACTCAGATCTTCCTGACTCTGGGACTAGTGCTCTATCCACTGAGTCACCAGCTGCTGCCTCCAATGGTAAAGAATTAGGGTTAGACTTAGCTTTGTAGTCTTCTCCTACTGTACTCTGATCTAATGACACTGTCCTTCTTGATGTTATTGACATAAGACATGCCACCTCCCAAATCCCTGAATTTTCATTGCCTGGAATATTATTCCTTCTTATCTCCCCCTCCTGGCTTCCCTCAAGTATCAGCTAAAATCCTACCTTCTCCAAGAAGCTTTTCCTCATCCCCCTTAATATTAGTGCCTCTGGGCTCTGAGGTCACCTCTAATTTTTCCTGTATATACCTTGTTTGTACACAGTTGTTTGTATATTGTTTCCCCCATTAGAATGTGAATTTCCAGATGGCAGGGATTGCTTTTGCCTTCTTTGTACCTCTAACACTTAGCAAAACATAAGCACTTGTTGATTGATAATGTATGATTATAAATAATTATGGCCTAGTTACATATTTAAAGAGTGAGAAACTGACAGTCAATGTGTTCTACTTGAATTCATGCAATGTATTCAAGGAATACAAGGAAGGCCCTCAACCACACTGGGTAGACCACCTTGCAGTAAATTTATAGAATATGGATAACAGTCACAGAGGATGGGCATAGATGGGTCGTGTAATACAGTGCTGGAGATAATACCTCTTTTTTTGAAAACACAGATCCATTTAAGCATCAGAATTAATGACATTCATTCCATTATTTTACATGACTATGGAATCCTAAGTAAAGAGAAAACAAAATGTAAAAGTCTAAAATTTTAACTTCATTTAGGAGTCATACAGAGAATGTAAGTGTAAAATATTTCAGTGTAATATTGAATATAGACAGCTCTTGTTTTACATAAATTCACATTAGGGAAATTCAAATTCATATAAAGAATTCTGAAAGAAATCCACATTCCAAAATAACATTTATGTTAACTTTACTGACCAGGCCTACTATCCGCCCTCCTCCCCTCCTCCCAATGACCCTTGGCTTGGCACTCCTTGGCCTCCCTCCCTCCCCCTCTACCAAAAAAAAAAACAAAAAACAAAACACAACAACAAAAACAAAAGGGAAACATTCCCCTCATCCCCTCCCAAACAATAACCTTAAAAAAACCCCTACCACCACCATCAAATCAAGGACTTGGTTTGAGATTTCTGGAACTGAGGAGACCTTTGCTTCACTCTGCCTTTTTGATATCTTCTGTCACTCTATACAGCATGTCTATCCCCAGGCCCCAGTGTTACCCATCTTCTTTTGTCTGTGTCCACGTACAGCCCCCATGTGTCACTGATGGTGTGCTGGCCCCCTCCCTCCACGGGCACACGGCCCTCTTCCTTTCCCCATGTGTGCAGGCAAATTTACATTATGTAAAAGCATTTTACATAAAGGAGTGCAGAATGGTCCACTTACATAAAGCAAGAACTCTGTATATTTTAATAAAATTCATATATAAAACTTGTGAACAAGTTTAATCTTTCTACAAAGCAAAAATGTTATTTGTACTTCCTAGAGTTACATGGTTAAGATACTATTGGTCCTTCTGACTATTTAACTTGACTTTCTTTTCCCTACAAATAGATTTCTTTTCTATCACCACCTCTAAGACCATCACCCTTCAAATCTTTGCCACTTTTTTATTTTCTCTTTCTTTCCATTACTTCTCAGTTTTCAAGCAACAAATAAAACCAGTCTTTGATAGATAACACCTGCCAAACAGAGCACTCTTTCTTCTGAAAGTAATACTGACCAGTTATACCAGTTATAGGTGCAATCTTTGGGATACAGATTTAGATGTCTTTGTCTTTATCTTACTTCCAGGTTTAGTCACTTCAAGTGCTTTCACTGTATCCCCAGTAGGCACTTAAGACAGCCAGAAAAAACCTTACAAGAATTCTGTTTACTCAATAAATTAAAATCATGTCCCTAAAACTACTCCCCACCAGTGCCTTCAATTATGTATTTTAAAAGCACAACACTAAATATTAAGAAAAAACTGCAAAAGAAAGCATAATATTCAAAATTTTCTCTTCTCAGGATTACCAGCTAAGATATGCTAAAATTAAATCATTTCAATTTGATTATGATTGGTTATTAATTAGCCAGTCTAAAGTATTAATAGTTTTCTCTTGTCCCTAAATGAGAAAAAAAATCCTATCGTATAATCTTACAGTGAGAAGTACCAGGCATGAAAGTTGAGACATTTTTCTTAATGACTACTTACCCAGTCCTAGTTTTTTAGCTCTGGGCCTTAGAAGCTGAAAGAGTAAGAAAAAGTCATCAGACCTTATCTGTACTGTAGACAAATTCACACTAATCAATTACAGTTTAAAAATGCTTCTTGAATAAAAAAAAAAAAACAAAAAACCCAGAAACAACCCCACACTTTAGTATCTAGGTATGGTAAATAAACTTTAAATAGTAATGTACTGAGGCACTGGTTCTCGTTTTTTCTAGCCTGCCACAGGGAGGAGACAGAGAAAGCTCAAATGAAACATCTGCTTAAGGTTGTGAACACAAAATGGAAGCTAAAATTAAACTCAGCTTACAATTAAGTCAATGATTGTAAGTAATCAATTGAGATACCAGAAAGACATTTAAACCTTTTACAATACACTGGAGGGAAAACATGAAATTCTCATATGTTGTATTTTCCAAGTTGTAAAGCAATTTTTAAAAACTTTTTATTACTTATGGTTATGTAATGTGTTGTTTTCAACAAAATCTTATAATATAGGATTAAATATCACATACACATAAATAGGGCTACCTGTAAAAGCACGTTCCACTTAATTTAAAATAAAGTCTGATCTTGGGAACATAGGAGTTACCACGCCAGACAGGGTCAACATCCCTCTCACCCAGTATTAGCCTCCAGATGATGTAAGAAGGAATGGCTGTCACTGATGTGAACGGTTGGCTTGCTTCTCCTACAAGCTGTCTTTTGTGGCTTTACCATTCATAAATATTTCCAAATCCCTTTATTTCTTGCCTATGTGTAAAATGAATTCCATGATTATTATCCATTGTGTAATATTTTTTAACTGTCCTAAAATTCACTACAGCATACTTCAGTCATCTTCATTTACTCAATTCATTTAAATAGTTATGAAATACTTTGTGTTTGAAATACCAAGATGAATAAGACAAAGTCTCTGACCTTAAGAACTTATAAGGAGACATAATTTCTTTAACTCTCAGAACCCTCTAGAATCTGTATGAGTTCCAAACCAGTATGCAATTTCATTTTTCAATATACCATTGACCAAACAATATTTTTCTTTAGGATATGTAAAACTGAAGTTATGAGGAGAACCATAAGTTTTGCAATGCTGTCTTTTGGTAGTAGATATTTTTTAATAGTTCTCTCTTTTCCCTAACAACTTCCATAATAGTTGGTTTGGATATAAACTGTTCCTATAGTAAAGAGAGAAATGGAACAAATCTGTTCCAAATTCTTTGAATTCTATGCTTATCAGTAATTTTAAACCTATAAAGCTGTAAAAGTACAAGCTACACAGGTTTTTCCAAGACAAACAAATATGACATTCGAAAATACAGATTTAAAAAAGCTAAAAAGTATTTGCTTGACAACAGGAATCACTATTATTCTTTTACTGCATTAAAAATCAGGTTCGATTTACCATAAATAAAAAAAAAACAAAGAATGAATAATTGCACAAATTTTATACTAAAAATGCATCTAGATGTCCCTATCAGCTAAATTTGCTGAGGTATTTATCTATGAATGTAAAAAAAGTAAAATTTATCAATAATATGAATGCAAGAAAAATGTGTTTTTCTTTGCTGTTAATAATTTATGTTGAGACCTAACAAAGCACTATTTCATGACTGGAAGTACTGTATATTAGAAATGAGCCAAAAACAAAAAAAAAAAAAAAAAAAAAAAAAAAAGTGAGCAACAGGATTGGAATCAGAAGACCCGAATTTAATTCTAGCTTTATTAATCTTATAATTCGTCATACATTCAACTTTCCCTAGTGATTAGTTTTCATACAAATTTAAGTCATTACTTCATGAAATAGATAACAAAATATCTCTACTGTATTTTTCCTTAAATTACAAAAATAAAATTGTATTATTTCATGGCTTTTACTAATGATTGAATTTTCAACAATTTTTTTTGGTGAGGCAATTGAAGTTAAGTGACTTGCCCAGGGTCACATAACTAGTAAGTGTCAAGTGTCTGCGGCTGGATTTGAACTCAGGTCCTCCTGACTCCAAGGCCAGAGCTCTATCCACTGTGCACCTAGCTGCCCTCAACAATTCTTTAAACAAAAATTTATTAAGCACCTAGTAATTGTTTAATTTTTTAATTTAATCATCTTAGTTAAATTTTAAGATTTAAAGACATTTCCCAAATGAGGTTCACATTTGAAATCTTTAAGTTCTAGTAGTTTAACAATGCTATCAGTTTCTACTACCTTATTAAACAAGTATTTATTAAATGCTTCCTATGGGAAGGCCCTGGGGACACAAATACAAAGAATGAAACAATCCCTACTCTCAAGGTGCTTGCATTTTAATGAAGGAATCAAGCAAATGTCTGTATTTGTGTCCACTGCCTTTAGAGACACACATACATATATCTTTCCCTACATATGTATGTACATGTGTATGTATACACATACAGAATACAAAAAACAAATATAAATAAATATATAGTTAAACACATGAAAGATTGGGAGGAAGGACACCAGCAGTTGGGTAAGATAAGGAAATTTATGTAGAAGGTGGTGCTTACATTGCATCTTAAAGGAAGAAAGGGTTTCCATGAGGCAGAGGTTACGAGGAGGGAGTGAATTCCAGGCATTTGTGATGACCAGTGTAAAGGCCTGGAGATGGGAAATGTAAGTTTGTGTACATAACCCCTCCACGCCCCCAACTTCTGCAGAATTAAAGCTCCTTCAGAGCAAGGATTGTTTTGTTTTTAATCTTTGTTATCTTCAGCACCTAAAACATCACCTTGCACAGAGTAGGTACTTAACCAAAGGTGAACTGGTAAAATCACGTCCTCAAACATATAGTAAAAGTCTGATTACACAGCAAGGCTATGGAGTAAAGTACACTCTTGTCTACCAATGTTATCAATTAACTTTATTGTGGCATTTTAAGTATAATTTATCACAATTCTAGACTTTTAAGAATCTTATTCAGTAGAGTAAAACTTCATTAATATAAAGGACCAAGAAAAAGAAAGACCTAAGTTAAAAGGCCTGAGTATGTAAATCTAGCACTTTAACTTGGAATTGAGGGTACCTCAAATTACATATTACTTTGAAATTGAAGAAACTATTGCCATTTGAAAGTTTTCTTTATTATGTTCTAGAGAATTACATGGAAGATTAAAATAAAATTCACAGTGCTAGTATAAGGTGCAGTAGTAAAAAGCTGGCTTCAAAGCTAAGAAGACCTGGATTTAAGTCTAGCTTCTATCATACTATGAACCTAGGGAACTCACAGTTACTCAGATTATATATTGTAGAGGTTATTAGTAGAGGGGTTGGGGGTTTCTATATTAATAAAACCACAAGTCCATTTTCTATCCTCATACTAACTATACACCAGGGATACTTAAGTTAACTGCCTTACATAAACAGAAAATTTTCATGGCCACTACCTCATGAAAAGAGCTTGGTTTCAGCCCTCACTCTGATACTACACAGCTATTAATAGCTTAAAACTGCAGTAAGACCTTTTGGGCCACTCTATGTGATCCTAAGACAAAATCATTTCCTTTCCTCAACTCTCAAATGGGGACAGTAGTTACCTCAAAAAGTTATTCTGTGGATAAAATAGGTATTTTCAAAAGTCAGGTAATGTGGAAAGGTATTACAAAATATGAGGACAAATCCATACATTAAATCTCAAATCATTTTTTGTAAAGCACCCACTTGTAATATGAATTTTGAAACAGCATATTTTTATGTACAACCTCAAAATTTAGAACTATCTTAGTTTTTATCTTAGCTTGCCCCTAAGATCCTTATTAATAGAAATAACAGATGGGATGCTATTAAAATAGCTCCAAAGTAAATATGCATTATATGTTTTATTTTATTTTTTAATTTTGGCATTGAGACAGGTAATTTTTAAAATATCTGTATAACAGCTGATAAAGCATATTGGTAACTTAATATTGTAATCAACACTGAACATGTAGCATAGAACTCTATCATTACTGCTTAAAAAGCTTCTATGATACCATTAAAGTAACTAATCTCACAGGCAGTTTGCTTTAAATAAAGGTCAAAGAATACATTCCATTAAAAAAAGCTGAGGTGAAGATTTAAGAAAACATAGTATCCATCTATTATCCCATACAAAAAAAATTAAATGTCACAAATGTAATGCTTTTTAACCGTGTCTTTAAAGGAGTATAAGATGTCATGAAAATATATAGTTCGCATAAAGATCTGTGATGCACAATGGTAAGTGAATTTTCTCTATATGAAGCATTGTACTTGTGTAATCAAACATGCTCATTCAAACTAGAAACAAACAAACAAGAAAACAAAACGGCCCAGGTCATTTTCACTTACTTAAAAACTTTCTTATCTTTAGCAGTTTTGTAAATTAAGTGACTATCAACACTTCCGTTAAATAAATGGAATATAGTTTAAAACAAATATAAAAAGTTTAATGTAACTCACAATTTTATCTGACCCATAGATCTTTTCCAACTGTTGAGCAACTTCTTGTGTTCCATCTGGACTTCCATCATCTATAACTATAATTTCATAGTTGTTTCCACTGAAAGGAAAATTATTTTTTATTATATACTAAAAACAGAAAAAAAAAACATAGCTAGTTGCCTACCACTCTAAATTGTAAACTATTAGTGAGGAACACTGCACAATAAATAGAAATATTTTGCATCTTAGTAGAAAATAAGATGAACTTTACCAAATATTCAGGACCAGGCTCATTCTCATTTGTTCAAATAACAAATTATGAGTTTCAGTTTTTCTCATTATATAGAAAAGCTAAAAGGTTTTTAATAGGCTTAACATAATAACATAATGGAAAATATCACAGCTAAGGTGTTAAAACTGTAAATAACAAAGTATACTTGCCAGGGTTGGAAGAGAGGGAACGAGAGCTATGTAATATAACCAAATGCATAAACAAATAACCAATATTTTCTAAATAGGAAATAACATTTGAGAGACACAGAGAAACCAATGTCTTTTTGGGGGAAGAAATTTTAGGCTATTACTAATTAAAACCACTTTTGAGAGGTTGTCACTAAATATTTAGAATTCCTACAAAGAAAAAGCACCTTTTAATAAAAATCAAAAACCTATTCTCATCCTCAAATATGTCATCTACCTTGGAAGGAGAGTTTAAACTGAATATGGCAAGAGGCAGTCAATTATGGATAAAAGATTACTGACTGGACTGGGAGTCAAGAACCCTGGGTTCCAGTCCTGATTTTACCTAGATCTCACTATGATTTATCGGCAAGTTACTTCAACTTTGTCAACTGCAGTTTCCTAACGTGTAAAATCTTATAGATTATTTAGTCCAACCTCATTTTATGTGACCTTACAACAGATCATAACGTGATGCTGAAGTTCACTAAAGTGAATTTTACATAGTTGTATTCACCTTATTAAACATCATATAAAATAAAAATTAGAAGAGAACCAGATTAGGTAGCTATAAAATTAATAATAAAAGACAAAACAGATCATTTAGATGACATGAAATGAGAAAGCTCTTTCATGAGCTGAATCAACGCAACTATATCAGTACAGAATAGACACTGGATAGGAAAAAAAAAATCTTTACCATAAGCATCTCTGATGAGGGTCTGATATCCAAGATACACATGGAACTAACACAAATGATTTCATTAGCTCTCATGTTTTCAACGATCATCTCTATACAATTGATGCTCAGATATACTTGTCTAGCCCTGACCTCTCTTCCAATGCCAGTCTGGCATCTCCAACTCATTAGATATCTCAAACAGGATGTTTCAAAGACATCTTAAATTCGACTAGTCCAAGACTGACGTCATTATTTTTCCCTACAAACCCTTCTGTGTTCCTAATTTCCCTATTACTGTTGAGAGCACTACCCATTCTCCCAGTTACCCAAACTGGAGATCGAGGTGGTATCCTTAACTCTTTACCCTCTCATCCCCCTATATCCAAATCATCGGTCACGTCCTGCTATTTTGACCTTCATAACCTTTTTCCCACAGAACCTTCTCTCTTCTTTGACATTGTCACCACCTTAGTACAGCCCCTCATCACCTCATTTTGGATTACTGCAATAGCCTGATAGTCTGTCTCTCTGCCTCAAGTCTCTCCTTCCTCCATTCTATCTTCCACTCAGCTCTCAAAGTGATTTTACTAAAAAAAATACAAGTTTAATTATAGTCTCCTTCCCCTATTCAATAAACTCCAGTGACTGCCCTATTACTTCCAGGGTCAAATATATAAAATCCCCTATTTGGCTTTTAAAGCCCTTCAAAACACATTCCTTCCTACCTTTTGAGGCTTCTTACACCTTACTCTCTTCCACATACTCTGAGATTCAGTGACATTGGTTTCCTTGTCCTTCCTTAAACATGACACATTCAGACTTCAGGCATTTTTGCTGTCTCCACTTCCACCCCACTCCTTTCCCCCAATTCTCGTAATCCTTATCTCTGCCTCCTTGTTTTCCTGGCTTCCTTCAAGTATCAGCTAGAGTACCACCTTCTACAAGAAGCATTTCCTGGTTTTCCTTAATTTTAGTGACTTTCCCATAACTCCCTTTGTCCTGCATTTATTTTGTTTGTACATAGTTGTTTGCCTGTTGTCTCCCTCATTAAACTGTGAGTTCGTGACAGACTATTTTTTTTTATGCCTTTCTTTGTAATTCTAACACTTAATATAGTGCCTGGCACATAGCAGTTGTTTAATTAATGTCAGTTGACTTACACACTCTAAGATCAAAAGCCATTCTCAACAGATAAATGGTCAATGGATATGAAGGAAATAAGTGTTAATTAATCATCTACTTTGTGCTAGCACTCTGCTAGGCACTTTACAAATATTATCTCATTTCAACCCTGGGAGTTAAGTATGATTTTTTTTTATTTTACAGTTGAGGAAACTGAGGCAGAGAGATTAAATTATTTGCTTAGGGTCATACAGCTAATGGCTGAGGTTGGATTTATACTTTCGTCATCCTGACTTCAGGTCCAGTGCTATATTTGTGTCACTGTCTGATGTGAACAATTCTCAAAAGAAGTACTGCAGAATATGCTCACCAAAAATAAATCCAGCATTAGAAAACACTATTTCCACCCAAATACCCGGAAAATTAGATAGTAAAAGCCACCAAAAGTCCATTTTCCTGAAACTACTATGGCCAATGAGATCAACTTGGCATTTTATATTTTAATTTTTAAAGAATTCATGTACATGTATTATATTAAGTGTCAGCATACATTTTAAACTTAAAGTTCGTGACACCAGAAATTGTGGTGTAATGGAAAGAAATTTAGATTTGAAATCAGACAACCTGGATTCCAATGTCTGAATCACCGAAAAGTGTTGCTGAAATGGGCCTTATAATTCATCTAGCCCAAAACAGCCCCCAATCAACAAAGGTGAATTGCTGCATAGATAAGTGGACGATTTTAGCATCAAAATTCCCTGGTCTTTTCCAAGTCTTTTGTTCCCCGTATTACTGCAAGCTTGCCATCTTAGCTAATTTAATCACTTAATCATCCAGGGTCAGTTTTCTCACCTGTGAAATAAAGAAGATGAATCCCTTTTAGCTCTAAATTCTATTATCTTTAATGTGCCCAACAACTAAATAAATGAACAGAAAATCTAATACATAAATTCTGGATCAAAACTGTTGTAAGTTTTGAAGGAGACTATAATTAACTTTTTCAAAACAAACGGGGGTGGGGGATCTTCTAATTTCAAATCAGGATTACAGATTTCGAACTGGAAGTAGCAAGTCTAACCCTCTCATTTTACAGGTTGGGGAATGACTTGTTCAAGGCCAAGGTAGTAACAAATATTAGAAATGGGATTATAAACCAGGTCCGACTTTGCACAGCTATACAAAACTAATCTTAATTAACAGAAGGTCCAGACCTCTGCAATTCTATATGATCTTGATGAACCTCTACCAAGCTTGGGAGGTGGGGGGTTGCGGATGGAGGGGTGAAAGAACTTATTTTGTAACAAGAATAAGACCAATTTTACTGTCCAATTTTAAACAACTATTTATGCTAAATACAAAATACCAGCTGCTAGTACAATATACCCTTATAATTTTTCTCTAGGACTCAGCAGTTAAGCTCAATTTCTATGAACACATACACAATTCTCATTCTTGTGTGTAAGCTATCACTGCAGCCGGAGCATTGGGGTGGGAGGACTAGGGCTTCCTCTCCCTACTCCACAGTGCCTGTGTCAATTCCGGGGGGCCCAAATCTTGGGGGCCAGACTGCTAATCCATCTCTTTACCCAGTGACAGGCTGTTTAAATCATTCTTCAGTCTGAGGCGTCTAGGGAGAAAAGAAGGCCAGCCTCAGGCCTGGCTCTTCCCCACATGCAACCTAAAAGACCACGAGGAGCCGCAGAGATCGGGGAAAGGAAGGGAAAAGGTTCCAAAGCCGCGGGGAAGGTCCCTGGGAGAGACGCCCAGAACGAGTCCCCCAGGGAGAAAGCCGCCATTATCGTTCGCGATCACCTCGTCAGCCCTCAAAGAAAACGCTTTCTCGAGAAAGCCTTGCAGGAAGCGGGAAGGGGGTCGGGGGCAAAGACAGGCTGGAGCCGCGGGGGGACGGCCAGCTCGTCCTTCCCGAGAGGGGGCCCGGGGCGGTACCTTTCTTCGAAGCTCTTCACCAACAACCACACGATGAGAGGCAAGTTCTCCCGTTCATTATAGGTGGGGAGAAGCACCGAGTACTTCTCCGCAGCCTCCGCCTGACCCTTCTTCGCTCTTCTTCGCTGGGATCCTGCACTGTTCGGGATATCGCTGTGGGAGGCCATGGCGGAACTGCAATCTACCGGAATCGGAATTACGTAAAGAAGAGCGCGAGGTGGGGGCGGAGGGGTGTAGGTGGGAAGGAATATTCCAAATAGAGGAAGGCTTAAAAGGGCCAACTTTGGCTTTGTCCTCCTGTTCTTCTTACCGCCCCTTTGAAAATTATTTTTCACTAGGATACTAGCTATTCACAAGTCAGAGAAAATGACCAGGCTGTCGTAAACACTGATCTATCTCTCCATCCTACTACCCCCCCCTCCATATTTGGTCTGGTCCAGTCGCTAGGAGACGAAAGCGGAAGCATGTCCCGAGGCAACTGCCAGGCCAGAACAGCATGGCGGCGAGCGAAGAAGTGCTCGCCTTGCAGGCTGAAGTTGCTTTGCGTGAAGAGGAGCTAAGGCTCCTCAGACAGCGCCTGGAAGTAGCGAAGGCGGAGCCGTTCTCACGGCACGCGCGTGAGCCGGCGCCGCTGCCACCGAAGGCTGCCCTGTCCCGGGAGGAGATTCTTCGTTACAGCCGACAGCTAGTCCTGCCGGAGCTGGGGGTGCGCGGGCAGCTGCGCCTGGCCGCCTCGTCGGTGCTGGTGGTGGGCTGCGGCGGCCTGGGCTGCCCCTTGGCCCAGTATCTGGCGGCTGCCGGAGTGGGCCGCCTGGGCCTCGTAGATCACGACGTGGTGGAGCTGAGTAACTTGCACCGGCAGGTCCTGCACGGCGAAGCGCGGGCCGGCCAGGCCAAGGCACACTCCGCCGCCGCCGCCATCGGGCGACTCAACTCGGCCGTGCAGTGCGTTCCGTACGCTGAAGCCCTCACCCCGTCCTCAGCGCTGGATCTCGTCCGCGGCTACGACGTGGTGGCCGACTGCTCGGACAACGTGCCCACTCGCTACCTGGTGAGCGACGCGTGCGTGCTGGCCGGCCGGCCTCTGGTCTCGGCCAGCGCGCTGCGTTTGGAGGGCCAGCTCACGGTCTATCACTACGAAGGCGGGCCCTGCTACCGCTGTGTCTTCCCTACGCCTCCCCCGGCCGAGACGGTGACCAGCTGCGCGGACGGAGGCGTCCTGGGCGTGGTGCCCGGCGTGCTTGGCTGCCTGCAGGCGCTCGAGGTGATCAAGATCGCGGCCGGCCTCGGGCCCTCCTATAGCAGCCGCCTGTTGCTCTTTGATGCCCTCGGCGGTCAGTTCCGCTGCATCCGGCTTCTAGGCCGTCGGTCAGACTGTGTGGTCTGTGGGGACCAGCCCACGGTGACCCGTCTGCAGGACTATGAAGCGTTCTGCGGCTCCTCGGCCACGGATAAGTGCCGGAGTCTGCAGCTGCTCTCCCAGGAGGAGCGGGTCTCCGCTGCCCACTACAAGCAGGTGTTGGACGCGGGGGAGCCCCACCTGCTGCTGGATGTGCGGCCCCAGGTGGAGGTGGACATTTGTTGTCTGCCGCATGCCCTCCACATCCCTTTGAGCCGCTTGGAGCGGAGGGATCCAGAGAGCGTGGAACTCTTGGGGGACGCCATTAGGAAAGGGAAGCAGACTATCCAGAAAGGGACGCTTTTCCCCATCTACGTGATTTGCAAGTTGGGGAATGATTCCCAAAAAGCGGTGAAGGTCCTGCAGAGCTTGTCAATCAAAGAATTGGACTCTTTGTTGGCCAGAGATATTGTGGGAGGTCTCATGGCATGGGCCACAAAAGTAGACCCAACATTTCCACAGTATTAAGTTGTGTTGTTCGTTTGTCTGAAGTAGATGATGGTCAAAAAGTGCACCTTTCAATTGTGGATTTCAAAATTGCCTCAAGGAAATATTCATAGTGTGAATAATTGTGAGAGAAGGGAGGTTGGAAGAGGATTTTTTTCTTTCATAAGTAAATAATTTTGTTTTTCAAAAGTGCATTGTATTAAGGCAACCTTTATTTTTATTTATTTTTTCAGCCTTTATTTTTAGAATGAATCCTTTAGGACTGCTTTATGTGGTCAAATAAGGGTGGGAGTAGGTTAAATGTTAGTCTTTGGATATATACTCTCCTACCGTGTTAAATAGAGTTGAAGACTGTTAAAAAAGTCAGCTTGTTCAGAAAAGATTTGAAAATAGCTTAATTGGTGAAATAAATCAATTTAACTGTTCCCAAACAGTTGTCCCAACAATTAATGGTTTCCCTGGGGATTTTAATGTGTTTATTCTTTTGCTCTTAAGCACTTAATTAAGGTTCCAGTTTGAGGTGTTTTGTAACCGTTGGAATTTAAGTGCATCCAATTGAAAAAATTCAGACTTCTGGTAGCAAATTTAAAGTGGCACCCTGACTATTATGTGCCTCATAAAATAGAGATTATATAGTTCAAGTAGTTTGTCGTTTAAGTCAAAACTAAAAACTAACCTTTGTAACTGAGTGCTTATCTTCTTTGGGCCTTGAAATAAAGTTAATCCTTGGACTATCAAATAACAGTGAAAATAGCACTTAACTGGTATTGCTCTGAATGTTGTAAAGTACTTTTCAAGGACATCCTCAGGGCTACTGGCATTCATTCTGTGGAGGTTTGATTTTGTCATTCCCCACTCAATTTTATACAGGGAAATTTGGTTAATTGAACATCAAGAACAGCCTTGAATTGAGGATTGGAAGTAAAACTTCATTCAAGCCTAGGAGACTGATAGCAAAAAGCAGCCTGAAGTTTGAGGGGTGGGTGTTACATCCTAATTCCTAGTCACTGCTGTGGGCTACTCGGAAGGAAAGACTGATGCTATTAAAATTTCCTGTATTGTATCCTAGGGTATTTATTGTATCCTATTGTATCTGCTGGTACATTAACCTTTAAATCTGAGGGTAAGAGGAGGATACTAAGATCCAAATAATCACTTTCGTATTAGCCTTTTGAATGATTCTGAATCATTTTTTCAGTTTGGAGAAAATAGTTGATATCTGCCTTGTGGAGATGAGAAAGAAAAGAAAAATAGTACTAGTAGTTCATAGTTTATCTGAGACTTTAAGGTTTGCAAATGGTTTTCCTCACAACAAACCTGTTAGAGAGGTAAAGCTCAGAAAGTTAGTGACTTTTTGGTCTTAGTTATAACTACTGTTAGAATCAAAATTTGTACCCAGTTCTCTTGACTACAAAGTACTTCAGAGTAGAAAATCTCAAACAAAATATTAACAGTACTTACCACTTCAGTGAACTGCCTTCTCAAGTAGACAAGTTATTTTAGTTCAGGTTATTAAAAACCTTTTTAGTTTCTCTAGAAGTATTAACAAATAATATTTTACCTGCCAAAAACTCCAGACTTTTCCCTTTAGCAAAGTGGATGGAAGGAAAACTCAAGTTTTTTGGGGGAAATAAATTAGTGGTGATAACTAAACTTAACACTTTGTCTGGATAAGATCTTCAGTTTCTCCATTCTTAAGTGATCAGCCTTAGGACTAACCCAACGGAAGTGCCTTCTTCCATTGAAAGGGAGACATTCTCACATCTATTCAATTTAGGTTCTTGAAATAGATCTCAGGGGAGAAACCCATTAATTGCTGAGGGGAGAATGGGCTAGGAGGAATGGGATGGTAACTTATAGAATGTTAACCTAAATTATTATACATAATTGTGATTTTCTTCCCCTGGATTCTTAGAAATGTTACCTAAAATTGTCTTGGAGGTAGATTCATACTGGAGGGCATGGGGGGATTATTGCCATTTGGATCCCTTTTCTCACCAAGCTAGAAATGCCTTGGATATAGAAAAATTTTAAATTAAATAGAACTGTTTTTGACACACTTGAGCCTGTAGTACAATATTAATATTCTTATTATACACTATCAAAGTATTTAGAGACTAGTAGATAAGACACTCAAATAATCCAGGACAGAGTATAGAAAGTGTGAAGAGTAGATAGGCTTTAAAACTAAAACCATCTATAAGTATAAGGTAAAGTATTAAAATGTACTTATACCATATTCTTCCTTTAATCACTAATGGTAATAAATAACCTTGGGTTTCCCTACAGAGGGAAGGCTCAGGTAGGTCAAATGATTCTCAGTGTTAAGATCTGGAAGGTACTTTGTTGGAGATCATGTAGACCAAGTTCCTTTAAAAATATAATAAGGAAAGATTTGGGATATAGGACAATATATCAAAAGACCAACTTTTTAGGGTCAGAGAGGCTCTAATCATCACAAGAGTTGAGCACCAAGTGGTGACTCCCCCTTCTCGTCAGCAGCTCATCAAATAATCTAAGGGTAGAAGGGCTGTGCTGGGTATTCCTATGGATGAAACAGATCCTTAAAATTTAAATATGAAAATGTGTGTTTCTGAACTCTTTCTCCCCCTGCTCCCCAAACAGACTGTATTTTTCAGCACCTTGATGGTAGGTGTGCTATTTTCCACTGTTTTGGAGATAGTCAAATGGTTTAAAAAATGATGAGTTGGGTTGAATATTGTAGCAAGAACAAAACATTAGCTCAGGAAGTTTTTATATTAAAATACAAGATGGAGCAGCTAGGTGGTGAAGTGGATAGAGCACCAGCCCTGAAGTCAGGAGGACCTGAGTTCAAATCTTGCCTCAGACCAAACACTTGACACCTTACTAGCTGTGTGACCCTGGGCAAGTCACTTGACCCCAATTGCCTTAAAAAAAAAAGAAAGAAAGAAAAAAATACAAGACGAAGGCATACTTTTCATTCAGACTTTGTGGGCTCCCATTTACCACTATAGTTTGTTACTTAATATTGAAGATTTGTTAATCAAATTTATGAATTAAATTGCTTTTCTTCCCTGTTTTAGTCATTTTGCAGAAGGAAGGGAAAAAGGCAGTAAAGCTTCGATTTCTTAATTTTTATTATTGGCGACATTTCATATAAAGGAGAAAGTGATAAAACTAATAAATAAAATTAATTTTTTCCATGGTTTTCATTTTAATGCTCTTTTCCTTATATTGTTGCATATAACTGAAAGCAGATTACTTAAAAACAAAGCATTCTGATTTTCCTAGTACTGTTTTCAAATAAAATTGTAATTTGCTACTCACTCAGAAGAGGCAGTTGGGTGGCTCAGTGGATTGAGTGCTTGAGTCAGGAAGACCTGAGTTCAGATGTGGTCTCCGACACTCACTAGCTGTATGACCCCGGGCAAATCACTTAAACTCTGCCTTAATCCGCTGGAGGAGGAAATGAGAAATCACTCCAGTTTCTCTGTCCAGAAAACCCCATCTGGGGTCATGAAGAGTCAAACACGACTGAAAAATGACTTAACAACAACAACATATAGAGGCAAATTTGATAGTGGTAACCTGTGTATGATGACCAGTGGAGCTGTTGAATCATACTGGTATACTCACCAGTATGGTAATAGGTTCGCCATTAACCTTTTGAATAGTTTTTTTTTACATTTTTTTTAGTTGGGCAATGGGGGTTAAGTGACTTGCCCAGGATCACACAGCTAGTTAAGTGTTATGTGTCTGAGGTCACATTTGAATTCAGGTCCTCCTGAATCCAGGGCCAGTGCTCTATCCACTGCGCCACCTAGCGGCCCCCTTGAATAGTTTTGTTCTTGGCAAACGTAACCAATCTTGACTTTCTTGACACCAAGGAAAGGATGTCTTACCGTGCTGAAGAGACAAGATGGTCAGCCAGACCTCAATGGATAAATGAGATAGCAGCAAGATGCAGTGAAAAGAGCACTGGCTTTGGAGATAGAGGACCTGTGTTCCAATCCTGCTGCTGACACTACTTATGTGACATTGGACAAGCACTTAATCTGAGACTCCTTGTTTGTAAAATAAGAATGGAGTTTCTATTGTCAAATAATGACAATGTGATTAAAAAATGAAAAGATGGACTTTTGTTTTAAGGGAGAAATTTGCAGTCAGTAAAAGCACTGCGCAATTTCTTAAAAGTAATCTTAGCTCCTTCCTCATTTTTGCTTCTGGGCCCTATCCATCGTCCATTTCCAGTGTTTATAATATGCATATGTGTTCATGTATATTTGTATATACATGGCTATGTAGTCATATATACATGAGCACACATGTATACACACACCAGTACCATGGGTTGTCCAATGCACTAAATATTATAGGATAATGGATACTATCTCCTTTTTCATTAATTTTCATTAATCATTAGAGATCTCAGGAAACTTTGTAGTGTTCTGGGGCTTGATGCAATCAACATGTAATTCCCAATTAGGAGCATTTTAAAGACCTTATATATAAACACTCCCTCTTCCATTTAGACTCTGTTGGACATCATTCATGACAATGCTGGAATTCTTTGGCAAGTACACATATCCCTGTGTCATGCCTTAACGTGGTAGTTAGTGGTTCATCCCTTAACCATTAACATTTTTTCAAGAAATTTTGTATGAGTTTCACATATGCTTGGGAGGTACCCTGTTGAAGATCTTTGAAGCAGCATTTTGCTCTACCAGGTCAAATGCTTTTTTATAGTCTCAGTAAAATCTTACATCTTAAGTACATTTTAGTCAATTGTCTGACTATACAGATGTGCTCTGCAATAGAGTGTGTGTGTGTGTGTGTGTGTGTGTGTGTGTAAGACTACTTCTTCCCTTCTTATACTTTCCTCAAGGATGCCGTTGTCAGCTATATTATTCTTACAGCTTTTGTAAAGATAAAAAGTAGGCTTGAAGGTACCCTTTCTTGGTAGTAATAATGTCCAAGATTTTTTTTTTTCTTTTCAAGTGTTTGGCAACTTCAGTACCCTCAAAATTGTCACCTCCTGTATAAACTTCCTTTGTATATATTTACCCTGTTCAACTGTTACAGTCTTTAGGGTCATTTCTACTTAGTCATGCAGCACATTGGGAGACTGTCATGTCAGAGTACAAACACATTGATTCCATGGTCAACGATGGTGAAAAAAATTTTTATAGTAATCTTGAGAAATCTTTTCAATTTTTGTCCTCTCAGTTTCATCCTCAAATGTTCACAGGCTAAATTGAATCTTTTACCAATCTCTCTACATTATTTCTCTTTAAACAGCCAATTTGAAAATTAATCCTATATCAGTAACTAGCCACTTCCAATAAGATGTAATCAGTTTTGTTTTTAACATGTTACTCGGTTATGTCCAGGGCTTCTCAATTCTCCTTGAAGAACAAATTCTTGATATGTAGGCTTGAGGATTCTGTGT